CATTATATGTATATTATCCGACTTCGTGATTATAAAAATCCTGTTAAACTTAAGCATAATTTCACTGAGATCATACATCATCGTCATCATCATCACCATCATTCTTAACGAAATTATTTCAAGATACAATTAATAACCATCAATGAGACAGTAACTGGAATAAAATGTTAAAATGTGTGATGAATTCGTTGTGATGTAGTAAATTTAAAAATGTAAAATGAAATTGTATATGTTTAACAGGAAAATAAGGATGAAAGAAAGAAATATGAATTTTAAAAATTCACGTTAAAAGTCATTTTTTGCAATAAAGTTGTAAAAGAAATGTCTAGACAAATGGATGTGAGGGTCGGAATAAAAAAGATATTCACAAGATTTTTTTCTTTTTTTGTATGACAAATACAGATCAAAATGAATTGGTAAGAATGCATGCAAATCAAGGAAAGGTTTTTTTTCTTTATATAGGCTGTAATTCAATGCGCAATTATCACGCAAAAAAAAAAAAATTTATTTTACAGCAGTGATGGAAAATAAAACAGACAAAAATAATTTCAATTTACATAAATGAAAATTTGTATTTTTGGCAGTATGCTTCGATTCTAGTAATTTGGATAGCAAAAAATGTCACATTTCAATATTAAAATCATATCCATTCGGTATAATGATATGAATAATTACTTAATTCTTTTACAACGAAATCATTTTATTCCGTACCAATTGGATAGAAAAATCTGGCTAAATTTAGCGGAGGAGATTCACTGCGCAATTCTATCAAACGGCCAACAGAGAATAAATTGATTGTCGAGAAAGAAATTTTTTGCTCGATTTTTAAATATAATATTATTCAGTGCTACGGTAACAAAATCTATTTCAAGTGAACAAATGGATAATCACAATAAAACACATGGAAATCATTCGAACTTTATTGTAACATACATTTGAAACCAATCCACAATTTACGGAATATACAATACGTAATTGTCTTTCACATTTTATCATGCAAATTCAAATAACTTGCATTGAAGATAACATAAAGCGAAGAAAATTACAATCAGTTAAAATATAAACTCATCAAGCCCTTCTAACACTATTTCAAAAATTAAACATTTTCCGGGCAGATAGCAAAATAACAGCCAGAACAATTGTGTTACACCACGTTTAAACAATAGCCTCATTTTGATAAATTTTCGTAAATAATTGACAACAAACAAGAACGATAGATAAAATGGGATTCAAGGGGATTGATTTGAATGAATAATCTGTAACAGAATAAAATCTAAACACAGTTGTTTAAATAATAATTGATACTGTTACGAGCCTACATTACCAAGAATAATTTTCTGGAAAACATAAGATAGAACCAATAGTACTTTATGATACAATCAATAGGATTTAAGAATAAAGTCAGGCAATAGTGATAATAATTTGTTGAATCCTAACTGCAACAACTTCAAATGGTTTCAATCATTTTGCATCATTAAATGAATCATTGCGCTTGGCTCACACTATTCCGAAATATCTGAAATCACGAGTTGTTTTGCGAACATAATTAATTACTTGGCTCGATGCTTGAAAGAGTTATAACGACCAAAAGATAATACATCTTGTTTGCATCACAAATCGAATTGCAAAATTTGTTTTATCCAAATAAAATAGATTTATTATCAATTCATAGAACAGTAAAAGCGAGATGTAATTGTACGGAAAGATGGATGCAAATGCAACATGGTTTGCCAATAATGATTAGAAATATGAGAGCTGAGGCTTGTGAAAGATATTAATAACCATGCTTTTTTACAATGTATATTCACAAATAATTTGAAAAAAAGGACAAAAACAAAAAACGTTAAATATACAGGCTATCCCTAATCGATTTATGATTTATGTTATGAAAGAATGTTATTAAAAAGTTTTGACGACATAATGCAGTGGCAAAATTATGTCTTCAGACGCATTATTAACGAAATAGTTCAAGAAACCTACTGCTGCATTAGTTGTTTGATGAGTTAAACCGTATAATTCGATGATTGTTATCGTAAACCTTTAATATTTAATATTTATTGAGAATATCATTTGGCTAAATATTGTAAGAGCGAGGGGAAACAACGAAATTTGAAAATCCAAAGGCTTCAAAATGTAAACTTTTGTCAACCAATACTAAAAATCCTGCTCTCTTTTTTATTTTATAAATGCCAATATATCTAAAATTAATATAACTAAATGAAAAAAATCTTTACCACTCAAATTCGAAACAATGTACTGTTTCTTCTTTAAATTAATCCGCTTCTATAATAAATATTTCTTTCTGTTCATTGAAACGTAACAATGAATTATACTGCATCTTGGCAATATGATTTTGAAATGAACAACTGAAAGTTCATATTACAACTCATTTCGAACTAAAATTCCTAAAAATGCCAAGAACACGAGGAAGAAACTCGGGTGAATGTTGACGGCTTGCATCTTCAAGAATACATTGGAAATCATGCTCAGACATGCGACTTGATGGTGATGCAAAAGCCGAAAAATCACGTAGCATTTCTTCCAAATCACTCAACGAAGGAATTGGTCTCAAAGGTGTTGAAACATCATATGTTTCATCATAATAATTATCTCTATATCGTACCATATACCACCCATCTTCTTCCTGAAATTTTAAAAACATAATTTATACATTATATAATACAATAATGTTATGTTTCACATTGACAATAACTGTTTCGCTAAGAGATTGACGAAACAGTTATTATCAAAGTGAAACATTATTAAAATATTTAAACTCATTCTTTAGACATTGCAGCAGCATACATTACATTGCGAGGTATAACAAAAATTATAAAACTCGTTTGCCATATAAATAAATTTCCTGAAGTACAAAAATTAAGGTATGAAGAGAAATGTAATTGCAAAAATATAACCGTTCTTTCACGTTCCGCCCAAGAAATCTGCCTAAGATCGTCTTCCAAAACAACTGCCAAATCATTAGCTAACGTGTGATATCCTGGCTGAAATTAACTAAATTATTAAAGAACGTTAGGAATGTCTGATTTACGCAGTGAAGAAAAATTTGACCGAAATAAAATTTTATACATTTTCAATACATATTTTCAGAACACATGATAGTAGCATTTGATCTCACTCTGAGTAACTAAAGTAAGGCAGGTCTATCGACAGTCATTTTTTATGTGGATAAATGGAAGAACTTGCTATATAGAAAGCTACTATAGTTATGTTCAGCATATAATTGTACTCTTACTAAAGAAATGCTAAACTGAATGATTGAATAGTTCTGGTTGCAAATAAAAATGAAAATAAATATCAAGAAACTATTGAAAACAGGCAAACCTTCAGCACAGAATTGGAATCATTTACAATATTGCTGAGAAGCAGAAGATTAGCAAATGGATTAAGGGGTTCGATTAATTTTGACTCAATGCCGAGGCTCAAACATAACATTACGACTGCACGATTGAGTTTGAAAATATCTGTATCAAATAAACCATCCGTCCATTTTCTGCACGATGAGAATTCTTGATATGATATCTAGAAGAGAATTTAGAATTTTGAAACTGATTAAAAGATATCAAACGTTTTCGAAAAATACCTGTCTTTCGTTGGCCAATTAAAAGAAAAATGGAAAGAAAGGGAAATTTTTAAAATAAAAAGATAAAATACTTCATATAAGAGAACTGCGCGAGATCTGCGAAATCACATAATTGTTGCATTTTTTTGAACTAAACTAACTTGAATTCTAGAAAAAATAAAAGTTCAAAAATTAGGAAGACTAAGAATACAACCTGCTCAGGTATACACGCATCGAAATTGACGGTTAATAAATTAACAAGCTGAATAGTATAAACAAATGCAGCAAACATATTGTGCACCGGTCGGGCAACAGGTACGGTTGGAATACCTATGCTCAACCATCCTTTCAAAATTTTATATTGGGCTCGATCTGGTGCATCACAGTCACAAATCTGAAACGTTTCAATATCACTAAAAAACGAATATACGAAAATATTGAAAGGAAAGAAACTGAGCAGCAGAAATCTGTATTCTGATTACAATTAGAAAAGTGAGCAGTAGAAATCTGTATTCTGATTACAATGCTCTAATGGTGCAAGATTACTTCATCAGAAACTTTCGATAACTTCCCCATCTAGAGATTTTTAAATAGCACTTGAAGATATTCAAATATGTAAAATGCTCTTTACCTAAAAGATGAAACAAGATGAGTGAACAGTAAGGGAAAGGACAAAAATAAAACAATATTGAAAGTACCGTATAACAAGGTTCTGAAGAAGTTCTACATTCCATTGGGGCCAGCACTTTATCAGTCGACGGAGCAAATTCTTGACTGAAGAATAAAAAAAAAACATTGTTAATTGTTTCTTACATTTCTTTGTAAATGTATAAAAGAATAAATCTCTCATTAACAAATACGATTAACAAACAAAGTTCATTTACCATGCTTCTGCAATCATTTCTCGACAACGTTTTTCCACATCATCTATGATAGGTTGCAGTCGTAAGACTCGTTGTATAGGAAAAATTTTTAAAAACCACTGTGCATTGAATTTCACAATTTTTTGCAACTAAAGTTGACTTTTATTAATGCTCTTCATGCATCTGGATTTACACTCCTTTCTAAGCACCAAATTATTAAAAGTAAGTTTGCATTTGATAAAAACATATAGGATATTCTGAATATTTTAAATTAAATTGTCTAACATCAAACAGAAACGACCATACGAAAAGAATTCATTCCGCAATTTTGCATGCATAATCAATTTTGCATGAAATAAGCTTTTGTTAAAAGCCATTACCTTGTCCTCATATGCGTCGACAAACGTTTGTAGTGAATTTGGCGGTCCACAAAGAACTTTTTGATGTCCTTGACATCGGTCCTATAAACTGTTTTTCATCGTTAAAAAAATATTTTGAATAAATGTTTATGCAGAGCAAGCGAACAAAAAAAAAACAATATTAAAAAAAAACGAAAATTTTACGTCTCAAATTTTACGTCATATCTTACATCTTTATAAGTAAAGATGAATATGAGAAGTTGGAAGAAAAAACAAAAAAAAAGACTTTAAGCTCTTCGATTGTCTTGCGATATCTTTCGGTTTTATTGCATATAACTTTAAGCGCAGCTTTTTTCTTCTTTATGGCTTTCTTCCTATCAAGAATATTTTGTTTCAAATATTCAATTGATTCATGCGTTGAATGCAATGTTTTTACTAGAGAAATCTGGAAAATCATGAAAATTACAAATTCTGAAATTATTATGTGACTTTTTTAATATGGTGATATTTCAATGAATATTTGGATACACCTCAAAACAAAAAAAAAATTGAATGTTGCTAAGTTTTTCTGAAACTAACATTAGATTCCAAAATGCTTTCGATTTCGCGAGCAAAACAATGATTCCCATATTCCTTTCTCCTTTGCAATTTGTATTTGTCGACATATCTGACTGAAAGTAAAAATTCTTAATATATGTGCTCGAAATTTTATTGCAAAATAAATGTCTCGTTTTAAATAAAATCACTGAATAAAATTTCTAATTCCGAAAAATAATTAGGAAATGCGATAAAAGAAATTTTCGGCAAAGAAAATTAATGAGATGATATCACTCAAACTTACTCCGTCAAATTTTATTGTTACTATAGAATAAAAAAGAACAAACTTTTATGATTGACACAACTTCGACACAGGCATAATTTCAAATTAGTACATGACGTACAGGGATATTTGTCATCTGTCCAATCAATTGAGTTACTTTAAATAAGAATTTTTAGATAAGACATACTGTAAATTACTTCCAAGAATGATGCAAAAGCTCAAAAAGCAGTAAACAGAAGAAGACGAAGCAAATGCCGTTTAAAAATAAAGTTAGCATTAACCCAAAAAACTGTAAAGGAAGTGAAGCTGAAACCTATCAGAATCGTCTCTTGGACTGCTCATGATTGAATTAATACGCGTATATATACCCAACGGTGTTATATCGATGGGTGTATCGATTAAATCTCGACAATTCACCAGCTCTCCGATATCTGTGAAACATCTCATTCCTTTTCGTGCTTCTGTAATACA